CGGTGATATTCGTCCAGACGCCGGAACCGTTGGTGACAATCGGTGAACGAACACTTGATACCAGTGGCCACCGATGGAAGGCCGGCGCGGATATGACTGTCGGCCATATGTGCGGTGAATTGGCGCAAGTCGTCGAAGAATAGGTTACAACCAGTGAACGGGCATTTGGACCGTACGGACACTCCGGCGACGGCCAGCTGTTGACCACCACTGGGCGAGTCATCACTTGTTGCGATCACTTGTTTGCCGGTATTTAAGACAACAATACTATTCAATGGTGTCTTCGGTATGATTTTGATCCGCTTTATGGATTTGTACGGATGTTGCGGTTGTGTTGGATGTGATGTCTTGTGGTGACTATCATCGGTGGCCAACTCAATAGTTGTGCTCAATGTCTGCAAACCAATCGCTTCGCTCATTGAGTGATTATCTCTGTCATCGGTTCCAGCGATTACTTGCAGCCCATGGTCTTCAGGTGCTGTCGAAAGGGATGTGTGTTTTGTGAGACAATACACTCGTCATCGGTGTTGGCATTCAGTGATGCCTTCAGTTTTGTTTCGCTGATAATGTCATTGACATTTGTGCCAAACTCTTCCAGGCGTTGGATCTGTTCGAGTGACAAATGTTTGAAATCATTGACAAATGTCTTCAGATTGTCTAAAATGTGTGTCAATTGTCTCTCAAATGATATGCCATTCAATAGTCGGAGGTTTTCTTCACTCAACTCTTCCACCAAATCATTGATCAATATTTCACTCATTTTTACCACAATTTAATCATTCATTCAATTAATTCACTATTAATTACAATTCAATCAAACATTTCATTCAAACTATTGTTTAGTAAACAAATGCATGACTTTTCACAACACATTCATACATAACTTACGTTCAAATAAATAACGAATTAAATAAGTTATAAAATTATTTTATTAACTAATTTTAAGTCATAAATCATATGGAAGTCACAAACATCACACCTGATCCGTACCGCGCGAACAATGGTGTGACAATTGGATGTCTTCACGGTATGTCCTATAGTCACATCCCGGCCAACGGCTTATCAGTACAACTCATGAGTGCGGCGGTGTTTCATAAGCATATAACGGCTGCGGGCTCTGTGGCCACACTTCGGCCAATCGCACGGGTGCTGCCGGTCAGAGGGAATGTCACGCCTTTGTGGCCGTAATGGTTGATCGCAAACAATGTGTTCGCAAACCAGACACTGAGTTTTGCCGTGAGTTGTGGCCAAATGTGTGTGATATTGTTTTCTCATTTTAAACTGTTTGTCGCAACCATTTGCTGGACACGTGTCGTAACCGTTAAGCGGTTTCGGCGGACATACGAAATGGTGTTCGCGGACCAGCTCTTCGGTGGCAAACCTCTTGTCACAAACAATACACGCGTACGGATCCGGTCGCTGCGCTGGTAACAGATTTCTATATTTCAATTGTTTGACACACTTTTGTTGGTCCCGTATAGACGGCCCGCGCGTTGACTCAGCGCTCGTATTACCACCTTTTGTATACCTCCGGAGCATTTGGTCGCAAATCAGGCATTGATTTGTGCCGTGAAATTCAGTCAAATGTTTATGAAATTCTGTCTGAAAATTAAACCGTTGGTCGCAATCATCGAAAAAACACGTGTAGTTATCATTGAGTGGTTTCGGCGGACATGAGTTGTGATGTCTTGAGAGTAACTCTACAGTGATAAACCTCTGGTCGCAAATAATACACCGATATTTGCAGTGAATGTCATCCAAATGTTTGTGATATTCTAACTGTGTTTTGAATGATTGGTCACACGATGTGAATGAACACTGATATTGGCTTCTATTGGTTCGGTTCGGTGGACACGACTTCTTGTAAACCGATTGTTGTCCGACACTTAATACGACAATATGTTGTAACTGATTGTCTGTGTCTTCGGGAACAGTATTATCACTCATTTGTCTTGTGGTCAACGACTCCTCTTCGGTGTCACTTTCTGAACAAATTTCCTGCTTTACTGTCACCACCTCTTCTGTCGTCGACTCGTGAGTTGTGGCCAATTGTTTGTCGATATTTAATACTACAAAACGTTTGTCACAAATGAGCGGAAGTTTTGTCGCAGTTTTGAACCGTTTTATTGAAATGCAATCCTTTTGTTGTCTCTTCGGAAGTGATCTCTTCGTCAATTCAGTCATCGATTGTCTCCTATTTTGTGTTAACTCTTCACTCGACAAACCATTGCATTGTTCATCAACTGAACCATCATTTTGTGTCAGCAATTCATTAATGTCTTCATCGAAAGTGTTTGCGATTACTATCTCTTCATTCATATCATGTGTTTGGCTCTCAATTAGTGGCCGACCAGTAGTGGCGACAGTGAAGTGATCTCCACGTGTAGTGACATCTGATCCGAGTCTTGGATTATCTCTAAATGTCATGTATTTTGAGTGCAAATCATTCAACAAAACAAATGTCTGTTTATTTCGTTCACAAAANAACAAATGTCTGTTTATTTCGTTCACAAAAACAATTGGTTTTCAAATCCAATGAATATTTTGCGATATTTTCTAACATTTCATTCAATTGTCTCTCAAATGACAACTCTTTGCGAAGACATTGGATCTCTTCCTTCAACTCTTTCATCAAATCTAATGACAATATTTCAGACATTTTACCACAAATTCATTAAAACTTTAATTCAATTGTCATTTAAATCACAATTAAGTCAAACATTTTATACAAACTATTGTTTGTAAACAATAATCCATTTTTATTTCACAAATTTTAGTCCATAAGTAATGTCTATAAAAAAATTAATTACGGTATTAATAATTTACAGCAATGTTAGATTCCCATTGTGTCAGATTCGCATTGTCTGCCCCCTCATTGACTGAACCCATACAGTCAGCATTGGTACACACCCACAATATCATCCAATCATAAAGAGACAATGCGAATCTGACACAATGGGAATCTAACATTGCTGTTATTATAAACTTAAATAACATTTAATTTATATTAGAATAATCTGTGATTAAAACTGATAATATAATATATTTTAAAATTAGTATAAAATATACATTTAATAACAATTAAAGTTATTTATGAATTACTTTCTTATGTGTAATTAAATTGTTTCTATATTTAGTCTTAAACTGACAGCCCTTCACATCACACGCTATATCTGGTCCCGAATGATAGACCATATGATTGTTCAGACCTGTTATGGTCTTAAACCTGAGGTCACATCCGGGCCAATGACAGGCGTGCGGACGACTCGTACTGTGAGAGCGCAGATGACACCGAAGTAGGTCTTGAGAATAGGTCCGGTACTCACACGCGGGCCAATCGCACGCAATATTCGCAATCTTCTGAGACTTGTCCGGGTTGTGTCTCCGGCGGTGTTGTGCTATCGATTGCTCGGAACGGGTTATGAACTCACATGCGGGCCAATCACACCGATACTCACGGGTCGAGTGCACGCCATTCAAGTGTTGCCGTAAATTACTTTTAAGATTGAAGACTCGGCCGCAGTCCTGTTTGGGGCACCGATACGTGCGGACAACACCCGAGTGGGCATTCAGTTTGTGTGCCGTTAAATATCTCGTTAATTGAAACCGTTTGCCGCAGTTTTGGTGATCGCAGGCAAAGACTAGAAGGTGTTTGTTGTGAACACGTTTATGATTATTGCGTTGTTTTATGGACGCAAACTCTTTGCCACAACCCTCATGAGTACATACATAGGGTGTGATCTGTTCATTAACAATGGGTTTGGGATCACAACCGCAGGCCATCTCATGCTTAGAAAGCAATTCCAGTGAAGTACACCTTTTCGCACATTTATTGCATTTGTATTTGTAGTGCATTTCATTCAAATGCCGGTCGTATTCATCGGTGGTATCAAACCGTTGTCTGCAAGCCATAAAAATGCACTGTTTGTACGCGTTTTGTGTTGTCGGCCGACAATCGGATTGTCTCGCATTGTCTTCTGGACACGACTTCCTCTTCAGTGATGATTGACAGACAATCGGTCGACAAAACGTTTGGTGTATTTCTAACAACTCTTTGTCCGCAAAACTCTTCGCGCAAACAATACACCGATATTTGCAGTGAATGTCATCTAAATGTTTGTGATATTCAGACAGTGTTTTAAAGCATTGGTTACATGTCTTGAATGAACACTTAAATACAAGACACAACTCCATGTGATTATTAAATTCATTCGCTTTTTGAAAACTCTTTGAACAATTAGGACACAAATAATAGTGATTATCATTATCTCCGCCATCAGTATTACCACTCTTTAGTGATGTCTTCAATGACTCTATGTCTGCAATTAGTTGTGGTTTTGTTATGAATGTGTTTACAGCAAAACAGTTCACTTTGCGGTGATTTAAGAGCAACTCTTGGGTTACGAAACCTGTATTACAGACAACACAGCGATATATGCAATGCATTTCATCCCAATGTTTATGATATTCCTCCTGAGTGTCGAACCATTTATCGCATGCATTGAATATACACTTTAATTGACACTTGATTTCATGTGATCTCTTTGTGTCACTTTCATTGTCTGAATCCCTGTCATCATTGCTGTCATCAATTGGTTCCGCATCTGATATTTCTGTGTCTTCAGTTTGTGTCTCAATTCTTGGCCTCTTTAGCGGTCGACCAATTGGGGGAATACGTGTTTGATGTATGTCTGTATCGCCAACTGATCCATGTCTTGGATTATCTCTAAATGTCATGTATTTTGAGTGCAAATCATTCAACAAAACAAATGTCTGTTTATTTCGTTCACAAAAACAATTGGTTTTCAAATCCAATGAATATTTTGCGATATTTTCTAACATTTCATTCAATTGTCTCTCAAATGACAACTCTTTGCGTAGACTTTGGATCTCTTCTCTCAACTCTTCCGTCAAATCTATTGTTATTATTTCAGACATTTTTACCACAATTTAATCATTCATTCATTTCATCAAAACTTTAATTCAATTGTCATTTAAATCACAATTCAATCAAACATTTCATTCAAACTATTGTTTTGTAAACAAATTCATTCATAACTTACGTTCAAATAACAAGTTTACTAACAATTTATTATTATTATTCAAAAATTTAAATTTTATACAAAATTAATACAAAATAATTACCAAAATATCAATTATATAATAATTACATACATTTAACTGTAATCTAATTAAATATATTAGGTTTATATTTACACATAAATACAAACGCTTTTAAACGCATTTATGAATTAACTTTTTGTGAGTTATTATACTTTTCTTATGTCTGGTCTTAAACTCACAGCCCTTCACATCGCACCGGATGTCTGAACCCGTGTGTGCGCTCGACATGTGTTCAGTCAATGTGTTTCTCAACTTAAACCGTTTGCCACAATCGGGCCAATCACAGGCGTGCGGCCGCTCATCCGTATGGATCAGTCGATGTTGTTTCATCTGAGCCTTAGTACGGCACCTGTACTCACACGCGGGCCAATCACAGGACACGGGTTTATTGTCTTCGTGCGTCTTCTTATGGTTCCGAAGTCCGTCAGAACTTCGGCTCTTATACTCGCATTGCAGCCAATCACAGGCGTACGGCTTGTCATCGCTATGGATCGCTTGATGATCTTTCATCCGAGTCATATCACGGCACCTGTACTCACATCCGGGCCAATCAGGGAGACGTACTTTCTGTGTGAAAGTACAGTACTTTTTAAATTGATTCTGTATTTTATCGCAATTTATACCGAATTTATCAATTGAATTGTGGAATAAATTGCAGAATTAGATTTCTAAACATTCAGTGAATCCAATGATATCTCATTTGTGGTGTATTTCATCGTATAATTTAAAGAAATTGTGAAAATAGTTTTGTTGTGTTAAACACGTGTTTGCATTGCTGTGCATTGCATTTACAATAGAGTTAAGTATTATTAATTGTAAATTAATTGTAATTTTTCAAAATGACGGGTCAATCGCGACAAACGAGAGCTACAGCTAATAAGTCTTCAGCCGATGTCAACACAATTGAGTCCAAAATGAATGAATTGATCGATAGTTTAAGCGCACAAATCAAAGCGATTCCACTCCGGAGGTCACCGACACCTGCTTTCAAAGAGACCATTCAGAAGACATTCGATGAATTCAAGGATCAAATCCAATCATATCATCAAATGGTGGCTAAAGTGAAGGAAGAGAACACTCTTCTAAAGACGAAGACAACAGAACCGCAAATGAAGTCATATTCTGCAGCACTTCAGACAAGAATCGAAACGACGACAAAAGAGGTAGTGATTGTCTATCCGTCAGAAGACATAGAAATCACTTCAGAGGAACTGAAGAAGAAGTTGAAGACAAACCTCGATCTCAAGTCAATGAAGAATATTGGCATTAATAATGTGAAGAAGATTAGAAAGAATGGATTAGTCATTGAATGCAATGATAGAAAACAATGCATTGAATTACAGCAGAAGATTAACGAAGACATGGGTTCCGAGTGCAAGGCATCACTTCCAGAGAAACGGAATCCAAGAATTATTGTCTACGGACTCGACAACAATGAAAACACCGAAGAATCACGAGAAGTAGGAATGACTCAAACCATTGAAGTTATTGTCGCACAGAATGCGTTAATCAGCGAATACTTTGAAACACATCCGACGGAAGACATGAAACCAAAGTTTTTCATTCGGGCGAAGAGTGAAAAACAAAGACATCTTGTCATAGAAGTGACGCCAGAATTGCGACAAATATTTTTAAACATTCGGAAAGTGAACATCAATTGGAGCCGACATTCATTCAAGGACTTCATATCAATCACCCGATGCTTCAAGTGCTTAGGTTTCGGACACTCAAGAAATGACTGCCAATCAAAGACAATCCGGTGCTCGTCGTGTGCCGGCGATCACAAACACGACGAGTGCAATAGTCGTGCAGACAATAGTTGTGTTAATTGTCTTTATTATAATCAAAAGAATCCGAGTCTTAGACCATATGATGCGAAACATAATGCGATGAACACTAGATGTCCGTCACTGAAGCGAATTGAAGCCATAATCAAATCGAAGATCAACTATGGATAACGAAATCGATTCAACCGATAGAATAAAATTAATACAAATCAATTTACACAACAGACCGAAAGCAATGGATCAATTGATCCAATATATGAAAGAAGACTCTATAGACATCGCACTCATTCAAGAGCCATATTGTGGTGACCATAGTATATATGGTATACCAAACGCATTTCAGTTGGTCTCATATAATGACAAAACATTTGCAGCTATTGTTTTGAATCCAATTCGATGTAAAATTATGAAAATCAGTGAATTCACCACAACTTCTCAGGCATGGGCTTTACTCAACATCGATGGCACTGACATTCACTTGTGTTCAGCGTATATGAGACCATCGGAAGACATCAACATATCATTAAATAGCTTAGAGTCCGCTATTAATAAACTAAATTCACAGAAACTTATCATTTGTAGTGATACTAACGCTAAGTCTAAACAATGGTTTAGTAGAATTGAGAACAGAAGAGGACGAGATATGATTGACTTCTGTGTCAGAAATGACTTAATTGTTACAAATTGTTCAAATTCTCCAACTTTCAGTGCATCCTATGGTGAATCACACATAGACTTAACAATTGTGAACAATAATGCATATGATATGATTGACAATTGGAGGGTTTGGGAAAAGGACTCACTTTCAGACCACAATTATATACGATTTGAATGTATAATTGACAACAATTCACTCAATTCAACGAATCCATTACTTCATTCAAACATCAATTCATTAGTTATGAAACAATTAGACGTTAAGTATTGTATGAAGAAGTTTGACACTAAGAAATTCAGTGATAGTTTCGCACCAAAACTTTCATTATTTATGAATTGGATTCAAAACTTGACATCAATTGAAGACATCGATTGTTTCATCACTTCGTTTATGACTTCAGTCATAGAATCGTGTGATCAGACAATTCCTCCGAAGAAGACATTCAAGAACTCAAACAAATGGTGGACTCAAGAGTTGTCAGAATCGCGGAAACATGTGAACCATTTGAGACGTCGATATCAGAGATGCAATGACCCCATCGATAGAGAAATAAGAAAAATCCGATTCTATAGTGAAAGAGAGATTTATGTCAATTTGATTAAGTCGTCTAAACTGAAGAGTTGGAGACAACTTTGTTTTGAATCAAATTCATGGGGTTTGCCGTATAAAGTAATGTGTAGTAAATTAAAGTCCGAGTCTTCTGTGCCTAACTTCGCGAAACCCGACGGAAGTCATACGAAGACAATTCAAGAATCACTAGAATATGCGATGGAATGTATGTTTCCGGTCGACGACATCGAGAGTGACACCAATTATCACAAGAATATACGAGAATTCATACTTTCACCGCCCGATTCACAGGAAGACCCACTCATCACTGATGGAGAAGTGAATGAAGTGATCAACAGTTTGGCGCCAAATAAGAGTAGCGGTTGGGATCAGATCAACGACACGATTCTGCAGACAATTCATTCAATTGATAATAAGTTTCTACAAAAACTATTTAACTGTTGCCTTACTTTTGGATATTTCCCAAAATTATGGAAAGTTTCAGTCATTAAGATTCTATTAAAAAGTATTGACAAAAACAAATCAGAAATCAAATCCTATCGTCCGATATCTCTTCTCCCAGTGATGGCCAAAGTCTTCGAAAAGTTAATAATCAATCGAATCAATCATTATATGCTATCGAATAGACTTCTATCGGACAGTCAGTTTGGCTTCAAACCCAACACTTCCACCGAAGACGCCGTCGAATACGTCCACCAAATGGGACAGAAGGCACTCAAGAACACAGGATATCTATTGGTCGTTGTGATGGACATCACGGGTGCGTTTGACCACTGCTGGTGGCCACAGATATTGGCACAACTGAAGAGGAAGAAGTGTCTAAAGAATTTGTATAATATGATTGCAAGTTATCTCACAGACAGACAAGCAATCATAAAAGTGGGACAGAATTTAGTGGCCATAGATCTCTCGCGGGGCTGTCCTCAAGGGTCAGCACTGGGACCGGGACTTTGGATCATAAACTTCGATGAATTGCTGTCCATTGAGACGCCAACAGATTGTGAAATCAAGTGTTTCTGTGACGACACGAAACTTCTCATTTACGGCAAGAATCTCAAGACCATAGAGAAGACAGCGAATAAAGTGCTCAAACAGATCCACGAATGGGGCGAAAGAGCTAAACTCGAGTTTAATCCCTCGAAGACATCAGCGCTTCTCATCACTCGGAAGAAAGACAAGAATCTGAACATCAAAATGAATGGCATTCGCATTGAAATAAAAGACAGAATCAAATATTTGGGAGTTGTTTTCGATGAAAAACTTACTTATAATAAACACATAGAATATATCGAAAATAAGATGACATCGAAAATTATGAAAATGCCACTCATTTCCCGAAACACTTGGGGTTTAAACTATGAATCATTGAGAGTGATATATAACGGAGCCATTGAACCATCGATTTTATATTGTTCGCCGATTTGGGGCAAGAAGTTGACAAAATTTAATATTGAAAAACTTCGTCGAATCCAACGATTGATGGCCATTAAAATTATTAGATCCTATCGGACGATATCATACGAATCCTCCGTAACTATCGCTGGTTTACCACCAATTGATCTAAAGATTAAAGACAAGAATCGTTTGTTTGAAATAAAACATAACACTTTGGGTGCTGTTTGTGGCCTACAATGCGATTCAATGGAGAGAAAAGTGTTAATGAAAGATATGTCTCATCCGGCGGTCACTCCAAACATTAGTTTCATTGAATGCGAATACAATCCATACGATTATGACTTCGAGGTCTATACAGACGGATCCAAACGGGAGTCGAGTGTTGGCTCTTCTTTCGTCATATTCAAGAATGGAGTGGAAGTGAAGTCCGAAAAATTCAAACTCGGAGTCAATTGTTCTGTATTTCAAAGCGAAATGATTGCCATCAAGAAAGCCATAGAAGCCATCAAACAGACAATCAATGCAGACATCAATATATCAATCAAAGTGATAATCGTGTCGGACTCTCAGAGCGCTCTCAATGCAATCAAAGGCTATCGTAATACACATCCATTGGTGGTAGACATCAAATCACTCATCACTTCCTGCGACGGAAGACTGTCGGTTGACATGAAGTGGATTAGAGGCCATTCAGGTGTCGCTGGAAATGAGAGGGCCCACCAATTGGCCAGAAGTGGTGCCGACATGAGTGCCAATGAAGTGCATGAAGTGGTTTACGATCGCTTCCCTCAATCCTTCGCGAAGAGAAAGTTAACTTCACTTCTAATGACTGAATGGGAGAACTGGTGGACAACGACTGCAAAAGGATATCAAACGAAACAATGGTTTCCAACGATTAGACAACGACTCGACTGCAAGACATTGATTCCCAACTATAAGACCACTCAATACCTCTCAGGTCACGGAAACTTCAATTCATATCTCAAGAGATTTCATCGAAAAGACAGTGATTTGTGTGAATGCGAAGAAGACTTGGAAACTGTGATTCACATCATATATGACTGCAAACTATACGATCGACAGAGATATGACTTATTGAATGCTATCCATAGAACCGGTCACTCATTCTTACAATTGGATCATCTCTTAAGTGACCAAAACTTAACCAAAGAATTGAAACTCTTTTTAAATCAAATTAAGTTTTGAATACTTTTCAAATATTTTTATTCATTTATTATTCTTTACTTTTACTTTTATTTTCAGACAATTTAGTGATGAAAACTCGTTAACAATAGTTAACAACAATTATATATTAATGTAAATAATCTAAATTTATTTCAATTTACTTATAATATCTATTCATAGGTATATAAATATTTTTGTTAATTCAGTTTAACAAATCTGATTAGTTATGAATCCAATCGATATATTTGTTAAACAATTTGAACCAAACATTTGTACAAAAGTTTCTGTATTTTTATTTTGGCGCAGAAACTGATCTCTAATTTTCAATAAAACAAAACAAAACAAAACAAATCCGGGCCAATCACAGGCCACCGGTTTGTTGTCGTCGTGAGTCCTTTTATGGGACCAAAGTTGAGAAGTACTTCGGCACCTGTGCTCACATGCGGGCCAATCACACGCGTACGGCTTGTCGTCGCTGTGAATGAGTCGATGATTGTCTAGCAGTGACTGTGTATGTGTCCGGAACTGACAGTCGGGCCAATCGCACGGATACTCACGGTTCGTGTGCACTGTCTTCACGTGTTTTCTCAAATCTGTATTAGTTTTATAGGTCCGGCCACAGCCCGGCTTCGGGCACCGGATGTGATGGCCGACAGTTGTGTGAACTGCCCTTTTGTGATGCATTAAATGATTTCTGGTTTTGAATCGTTTGCCACAGTTTTGGTAATCGCACGCAAACGGCCGGTCCATCGGGTGCTCTGCTCTCACGTGACAATCAAATTGGATTTTAGTGGCGAACCGTTGGCCGCAGTCTTCGTGAGCGCATACATAGTCTTCGGCTGTCGGCGGATGTGTACCCGATTGAGGCGTCGGTGGTACCAATCCTTTGTGAACAGAGCGGTGAGCCTTCAAACGGAATTTTACTTTAAAACGTCGGCCACATTGCGGCCAATCGCATGCGAACGGCCGATCAGTGATGTGTGCGCGTTGTCTGTGATACCAAATTGTGGACTGAAACTTACCCCTGAAGTCACATCCCTTCCACTCGCACTTAAACGGCTTGTCGTCGCTGTGGACGCGTTGGTGAGTGTTTAGTAAATACTCTGTATGCGTGATGTGTTCACATCCGGGCCAATCGCACCGATACTCGCGGGTCGAGTGCACGGTCTGCACGTGTTTTCTCAAATCAGCCAAACTTTTACAGATCCGATCGCAACCGTCGTGAGGACACGGGAACTGCTTTAGTTTGGATTCGTCGTCGGCTACGAACGAGTGGACTGTTTTCATGTGAAGGCGCCGATCGTGAGGCCGCAGGAACTCACGGCCACAGTCCTCGTGAGTGCATCGATAGGGCCGAAGACCGTTGTGTTTGTTCACGTGATCTGTTAATTGAGACTCCGATTGATACGATCGGTCGCACCAATCAATCGGACATTTGAATGGTTTTGGTGGACACGAGTGGTATTTAGTCAACAGATCCGGTGATGCGAACACTTTCTGGCATTTATTGCAATTGTGTTTCAAATGAATTTCACGCAAATGTTTGTTATATTCATCCGATGTCTCAAACCGTTGCCCACAAGACGTGAATATGCATTGATATGAAGAGCCATCCGATGGTATGACTGGACATGACTTGTGTTCTTCTACTAAATGACTGTTATATTCTTCTACTGTCTTAAACCGATGGACACAACCTGTTATTATGCATTGACATTGAGTGAAATCCAATTGATTTGATTTCTTGACCCGAGATAATTGTCTCTTCGTTTGGATCAGTTGACCACCGGTTGATTTCGATAAACACGAGTTGTCCAAAGTTTCCATCACCTGATTATTGTCTGTATTTTGCTTTATAACTTCAAACCTCTTTAACACAACATTTCGTTCACAAGATATTTGGTGTTTTGAGAGCAGTTCCGGTGACGCGAAGAACTTCTGGCATTCAATACACTTGTGTTTCAAATGAATTTCTCGCAAATGATTGTGATATTCATCTAAAGTCTTAAACCATTGATTACATGATATGAATGAACACTTGTATCGATTAATTTGATATGTCTTCAGACGACACCACCGCTGGTGAGACACCAGTTCTTTCAGAGTTTCAAAAGTTTTCAAACATTTCGTACAGATATGAGTGTCTGTCGTGTCTTCGGAAACAGTTTTACCACTCTTTGCCTGTGATGTCGACAACTGTGTGGACACAACCGGCGAATTGTCCGCTGGTTTTATTTGTGGAGTACTTGTGGTGACAATCGTGTCGTTCATATTGTCATCAATAGTGTCGTCTAAAGTGATGTCAATATTTGAGACAACGATCTCTTCAATACTATTGTCTTCTTCTGGACACGACTTCCTCTTCAGTGATGATTGAGAGACAATCGGTCGACAAAACGTTTGGTGTATTTCTAACAACTCTTTGTCCGCAAAACTCTTCGCGCAAACAATACACCGATATTTGCAGTGAATTTCATCCAAATGTTTGTGATATTCAGACAGTGTTTCAAACGATTGATCACATGATGTGAACGAACACTGAACTGGACTTTCTTTGGATGCTTTCGATGAACACATCCTCTTCTGTGCCGACAATTGTCTCAGTCTTTGAATACTCTTAGACTGCAGACACAAACGATTGCCTCTGTTTTGTTGTTCGGGAACTCTATTACCACTCAATACAAGTGATGTCTTCGAGACAATCGACACATTGTCTACAGTGTTGTCAATACTCGACATCTCTTCGGCCAACTCTTGAGTGAAAGACAATGAAATGCAATCGCTTTCTGGTGTCAGTACAGGCTTTATGTCATCATCTGATCCATTAATGTCTTCATTCATATCATGTGTTTGTCTTTCAATTAGCGGCCGACCAGTAGTGCCGACAGTCATGTGATCCACACGTGTGTTGACATCTGATCCGAGTCTTGGATTGTCTCGAAATGGTGTGTCTTCGGGAAACCACTTCCTCTTGTGTTGTGTTTCATTGATAATGACATTGAGTTCGCTCTCGAGTTCTTCAAGTCTGTGGACCTCTTGTGGTGACAATTGGTTGAGTTCTTCGAGAGTTGTCTTTAATGAATATTTTGCGATATTTTCTAACATTTCATTCAATTGTCTCTCAAATGACAACTCTTTGCGAAGACTTTGGATCTCTTCACTCAACTCTTCCACCAAATCATTGATAACTAATTCACACATATTTTTACTTCAATTTAATCATTCATTCATTTAATTAATAAAACTTTAATTCAAATTAAAACTAATGATAAAATTGAACCCAAAATTGAATCAAACATTGAATACAAGTATTGTTTGTAAACAAATGCAATGACTTTTGAGAGTTCAGTGCTTAACACAACTTACGTTCAAATAAACAGTAAAATTAATAACTGTTATTATTTTAAACTTTTAATTTAATCATTAAATAATATAACAATAATGATAAGAGAAATATCAATTTAATACAGTCAGACTTCTATGCTGTCAACGTCTCTATGTTATCAACAAAATCCCAAATACCCACCTCATAGACATAATGTTAAAATGATATCGATGTTGTCAACTAATCTATGTTATCAATCAAATTCACTGGAACCGTTTGGTTGATAACATAGAAGTCTGACTGTAACTGTAAATTTATTAAAGCATTTAATCAAAATTATATTAAAATGTATCCAATTTATTATTATAAATATAATTTAGATGAATATATCATTTAATTATATTTTAAACTAATACTAAACAGACAGCCAATCAGATCACAGTCTAGTGACTAATACGCGTGTGCCTTGTTAAATCTTGTTTGTGATAATACCGTTTACCACAGCCCTCATGAGTGCATACAAAAGGTCTAATACCCCGGTGTTTGTTAATGTGGGTCTTTAATTTATACTCTCTATTACATGAATAGAGACACCCATTGACTGTGCATTTGAATGGTTTGACCCCCGAGTGTGTCAACCGATGTCTGCGGAGATCTTTGTCTTCTTTAAAACTTCTATGACATCCATTGTAATCGCATTTAAAGTTTTTTCCATTTTGACGCCTAGAACTATCACCCGAACGGATCCGGTTCTTTGATTTATGAGTGGTAACCGTATGTCTGTTCCGTTCAAAAAAACTGCTACAAGAATAATGACATCCATTGACTGTGCATTTGAATGGTTTGGCAACTGATCTCGCAGTTCGTCCGCCACTGGTGTCAGTCATGCGGTGATCACCTGTAGTGGCATCTGATCCGAGTATTTGGTCCACACTTTTGTCGTTTCTGTTTCCGTTTCAAATGGTTCCGCAATTCGTACCGACGTATGCATTGATATCCGCAGCCATTGGCCGGACATTTGTGCGGTTTGTCCGTCGAGTGTGTGAACCCATGTCTTTGCAAATCGGACTTCTCTCTGAACGACATACAACACCCGTTGTAATCGCATTCAAAGCCACGCGATTGGCCACCGATTACAGCCGTATATTCGTCATTGTGTTCGCTATCATCTGATTCTGCGATCACACCATCAGATCCGTCGGAATCTGAGTATTCATTGTCGCAATTGTCTGTCGTCTCAACATTTTGTCTATCATTTGTTGTGTGAATGTCTTGAATGTGTTGCCAAAGAGCCGATTGTCCGCCAAAACTCTCGCCACACGACTCACGAGTGCACACAAATGTCTTCATCACATGTTCGCGTTGTCGGTGTCCAATGATCTCATCGGTGGTCAGACACACGGCATCGCAATCATTGCATTCGTATATGTTTTGCATTTTGTGTATATTATTCATGTGTTCAATGAGTGATGTCTTCGCGAAGAACTTGTAATCGCATTCTTCTACCAAACAATTGAACCGAAACTTTGGTTTTCTGGCGATCAGTGTCTGGATGTGATCGTCGGTCACGTGTGTCCGTACATGTGGTCCGAGATCTTCGCTGGACTCAAAGGGTTGATCGCAAATCGCATTACATGTGCCGTCGGATCCAGACATGAGGTGATCAGTAATCAGTGGTTTGGTATCGCTTTCACAGGACATCACAATTGAATTGTTTTGTTCGTTGTCTGAAAGGTTGATGTCATCGACTGATGCATCGTATGGTCTAACAATATCTTCATTTGTATCACACGTTTGTGTTTCAGGTTTTATCGGCCGACCAGTAGTGGCGACAGTCATGTGATCTCCACGTGTGTTGACATCTGATCCGAGTCTTGAATGATCTCGAAATGATGTCTCTTCTGGAGACCACTTCCTCTTGTGTTGTGTTTCATTGATAATGACATTGAGTTCGCTCTCGAGTTCTTCAAGTCTATGGACCTCTTGTGGTGACAATTGTTGAGTTCTTCGAGAGTTGTCTTAAAATAACTCAACCAATTGTCACCACAAGAGGTCCACAGACTTGAAGAACTCGAGAGCGAACTCAATGTCATTATCAATGAAACACAACACAAGAGGAAGTGGTGTCCAGAAGACATACCATTTCGAGACAATCCAAGACTCGGATCAGATGTCAACACATGTGAAGATTACATGACTGTCGCCACCACTGGTCGGCCACCAATTGAGAGACAAACACATGATATGAATGGATCAGATGAAGACATAAAGCCTGTACTGACACCAGAAAGCGATTGCAACGCATTGTCTGTCACTCAACAGAATAGGACATCACTGAAGAGGAAGTGGTGTTTAGAAGACAATGATATGACTGATGAGAGCGTTGTCTCAAATTCTGACACTTTGGAGGACAACATGAATGACACGATTGTCAGCACAAGTACTCCACAAACTGACGACGAGTTAATCGATGGCAACACAAGTACTACAGAAACAGTCGAACCAACGGACAGTTCGCCGACTGTGTCCACACAGTCGTTGACATCACAGGCAAAGAGTGGTAATATTGTTCCCGAAGACACGACAGACACTCATATCTGTACGAAATGTTTGAAAACTTTTGGGACACTTGAAGAACGTTTGTCTCATCAGCGGTGGTGTCGTCTGAAGACATATCAGATAAATCAATACAAGTGTTCAATCATATCATGCAATCAATGGTTTAAGACTTTAGATGAATATCACAATCATTTGCGGGAAAATCATTCGAAACACAAGTGTATTGTATGTCAGAAAGTCTTCGCGTCACTGGAACTGCTCTCAAAACACCAAAAGTCTTGTAAACGAAATGATATTTCTCTTAATACACAAACTCAATATCAATGCGTATCCACGGCTTGTGATAATCGGTTTAAGACATTAGATCAATATAACAGTCATTTGGCTGAAGAACACAAGTCATGTCCAGTCATACCATTGAATGGCTCTTCATATCAATGCATATTCACGTCGTGTGGACTACTGTTTGAAACATCGGATGACTATAACAGACATTTGCGTGAAATTCATTTGAAACACAATTGCGATAAATGCCAGAAAGTGTTTCCATCACTGGATATGTTGACTAAATACCACTCGTGTCCACCAAAACCATACAAATGTCCGCTTTATTTGTGCGACCGATCGTATCCATCGGAGTCTCAATTAACAGATCACGTGAACAAACACAACGGTCTTCGGCCCTATCGATGCACTCACGAGGGCTGTGGCCGGGAATTCCTGCGGCCTCGCGATCTACAGCTTCACATTCAATCCATTCACTCTTCCGAAGACATACCAAAGCAGTTCCAGTGTCCGCACGACGACTGCGATTCGGTTTTTAAAAATGAAAGTACTTTACAAAGACATATGAATGACGTGCACTCGACCCGTGAGTATCGGTGTGATTGGCCCGACTGTCAGTTCTGGACACATACCGAATGTTTGCTCGACAATCATCGACTCGTTCACAGCGACGACAAGCCGTTTGAGTGCGAGTGGAAGGGATGTGACTACAGGACGAAGACTAAGAACCGAATGACTTTTCATGTCAAATATAAACACCTCTCCAATCGGTTGTTGGCCTGCGATTGGCCGCAATGTGGCCGACGTTTTGCGATCAAAACTCAATTGATTAAACATATGTCTGTTCACAAGGGATTGGTTTCATCCGTCTCTCAATTGGACGATAAATTATTTGTAAGCGATAACAACGGTCTTCGGCCCTATCGATGTACTCGCGAGGGCTGTGGCCGTAAATTCCGACGGCCTCGCGATCTGCGCCTTCATATGAAAACCGCTCACTCGTCCGCTGCCGGCGACCCATCCATACCAAAGCTGTTTTCGTGTCCTCACGACGGCTGCGATCGGGTTTTCAAAAGAAAAGATCATTTGAAGGTACACTTGAATGGCGTGCATTCGACCCGTGAGTATCGGTGCGATTGGCCCGACTGTTAGCACAGGACACATACACAATGGTTGCTAAACTATCACCGACTCACTCACGGCGAAGATAAGCCGTTTAAGTGCGAGTGGAAGGGATGTGACTACAAGGGTAGGAGTCGGGGCGCGCTTAGGGGTCACAAAATATCGGCGCACACCGACGATCGGCCGTTTGCGTGCGATTGGCCACAATGTGGCCGACATTTTAAGACCACAACTAATTTGAAGATCCATCGGACTGTACACCAAGGATTGGTTCCACCGGCGTCTCAATCGGGTACTCAAACGCCGGTCGACACATCTTATGTATGCGCTCACGAAGAATGCGGCCAACGGTTCGCCACTAAAATCCAATTCAATCGTCACGTGAGAGCCGCGCACCCGACGGACCGGCCGTTTGTATGCGATTACCAAAACTGTTGCAAACGATACACAACCAGACGTGACTTAACGCGTCACAAACTGGCCGTTCACTCGACTGTTGCCCATCAGTTCCGGTGCCCGAAGCCGGGCTGTGGCCGAACCTTCAGAACTAATACACATTTGAGATCACATGCGAAGGCAGTGCACTCGACAGTGCAGTATCGGTGCGATTGGCCCGACTGTGAGCACAGGACACATACAATGTTTTTGCTCGACAAGCATCGACTCATTCACAGTGAGGACAGGCCGTACGCGTGTGATTGGCCCGCGTGTCAGTACAGGGCTCGGACTTATGGTCAGATAAATGAACATAAAAAGTGTCACGAAAACAACAAAACGGTGGCCTGTGATTGGCCCGGATGTGAGTACAGGGCCCGCACTATGGCTCTGATGAAAAGTCATCAAGTGATCCATAGCGACGACAAGCCGTACGCCTGTGATTGGCCACAATGCGAGTATAAGAGCCGAAGTCCTAAAGGGCTTTCGACCCATAAAAAGAGTCACTCAGACAATAAACCGGTGGCCTGTGATTGGCCCGCGTGTGAGTACAGGTGCCGCACAACGTATGGTTTGAAACAACATCGACTGATCCATTCGGATGAGCGGCCGCACGCCTGTGATTGGCCCGAATGTGGCAAACGGTTTAAGTTGAGATCAACATTGACTGAACACATGTCGAGCGCACACACGGGTCCAGACATGCGGTGCGATGTGAAGGGCTGTGAGTTTAAGACCAGACATCGGAAAAGTATAATAACTCACAAAAAGTTAATTCATAAATGCGTTTAAAAGCGTTTGTATTTATGTGTAAATATAATCGTAATATTTTTAATTAGATTACAATTAAATACATGTAATTATTAAATCATTGATATTCTTGTTATTATTTTGTATTAATTTTCTATAAAATTAAAATATTTAATAATAATAATTAACTTTTCGTAAACTTGTTATTTGAACGTAAGTTATGTATGAATTTGTTGTGAAAATGAATGCATTTGTTTACAAAACAATAGTTTGAATGAAATGTTTGACTGAATTGTGATTTAAATGACAATTGAATTAAAGTTTTGATGAATTAGTGGTAAAAATATGTGTGAATTAGTTATCAATGATTTGGTGGAAGAGTTGAGTGAAGAAAACCTCCGACTATTGAATGAGTTCACACACGGGTCCAGACATCCGGTGCGATGT